AAATGTCACTTTTCTGATAGGAAGTAATACGATTTCCTTGTACTATTCTGTCATTTTGTAGCTAAAAATAGGAAAGAAAATACTTTTCCATTGCCGAAATTACATAATTTTTAGGATGCAAGTGGAACAATTTTGAGAGGACCTCATGGCAACTCAGTATAATCTTCCAGAAATTGTTTCAACTAACTAACATGTATAGCTTTTCTACAAGCCTCATTTGGATTTAATAATGCCCTGAATGTGCACTTCTGGTTCATGCCAATCATGAGTTCATCAAATAAAATTTAATATGGTAAACTAGCCTATCTAGCTCCTGATTTGACAAGATTCATAATTAGCTTTGTGTTTAAATGAAACTGTTATAACTAGTCAACATGAATGAACAGAATGTTTCAATTGACCCTGCTCTTTATTTATATCCTCATGGGACAAATGACATTTAGGATTTAATTCTATGGATTGATGTGCTTGTGGAAGGGGATTCTTAATTAGATTAGTGGAATTCATTCATCTGTACTTCGAATTACTTTTCATTGACTATGTAATACACCATTTTGAAAAATAATAGGTATAAATAGTTAAAATATTTTAGGTTGAATTGCAGTGAAACAATCTCCCCACATTTATTTCAAAATTGCTACTCTATCTGGAAAGCTTTTCTTCCTCTCCTTACGGTTGAGCAAGTTGTTTTACACAGTATTCAGAAACATCCATTTCTATTAATATTGTACTAATGTTTGCTTTTGGTGACATTCATCACCCTGTTATTTGCTTTTCCATGGATTTGCTTATGTATTTAATCTTTATGGTTTCTGAATATACCAAATATGTCTGAACAAGACAAATTGATCAATTTGTATAATAATATGGATTATTATGCAGTATCTGCAAAGACTACAGAAGTATTGATAGTGGAGGTGTTTTGCTCAGCAGCATTAAATAGAGCTTTGTATGGAGCTCATGAATTCTGTGAATGAAGGAGTTAATTAGTTTGGATGATGAGGACAATATCCCCTGGTGTCAATTGCCAGTCTGATAGCATAAAAAATGAATATTCACATAGTAAATTTTAGAGACAAAATTATAATGAATAAGTAATAAAATTTATGGAGGCATAATATAATGTCAGCCAAAACCTGTATTCTAACAGAGCAAATAGTATTTGCAGATAACTCATGAACAAAACCATCAAACTTCAGTTACTGGATAAATGTCTCTTTTGTGTATGTGTGTCAATATATGTATTTTTAGGGTCGTGTATATATACCTATACATATATTTGTATTATTAATATATTACTTGTGATTGAACATAACTGAGAGTATAAAATCCCTACCCTGTAGAAAGAGCTCTTGGCATTGTTATTTCTGATAATAGTTTATTTTCCATAGAAAACTCCTATTTCCAAGGTTACATTATTATGACTATGATAACTAAATTTTTCAAATGGATGAAAGGCCAAGATCTGTTTCTCTCCAGTTGTATGCTTTATCACACAACTTCCTTATTGTAGTAGTTTTATCCTGTCTTTATAAAAATGGGGTGAACAGGAGGGAGATTGAGTTGATTGCCCTCCTACACTGGACCTGGTCCTATTTCTCCTCAGGAAATGCATTGCATTTAAGATTGTGTGCTTATTGTTTCTACAGAAGCAAATTCTGAGGTATACAATGCACTGATATACCAAAAATTATACTTTTTACAAAAACATGGGTGGTATTCTCTTAAATATTTTCTAGTTATAAGGTACTTTTTGGAGAGTGTCTCTATGTGGTTCCTAGAATAACAAAAATTTTTTAGATTTGCTCCTCATTTTAGATATTTTTCTTCTTCCAGTTCCAAGCAAAGAAAAAAGACTTGCTCACTTCAGGTGAAAGGACTAATTTGACTTGGAAGGTGATGCTGCACATACAATAGGTTGCTATCATCTTCAAGCTAGGAAATAACATTTTTTTGTCTTCCTTACATGACATTAGGTAGTGAGTCAGCATATCTACAGAAGTCAGTGTTGTGTTTCTCTCTGCTTGGTGTCTAAACATTATCCTGTTCTCTCAGGTAGGATGAAGGGACACAGATGGCAATTAACCAAGGTTTGGCAGATGTTAGTCTGAGGCTTAACATCCCTCCCCTTTTTACAGGTCTTCTTAAGCACTGACTGGGGATAAATGTGATCATTCCTTCACCTTGTTATAATGGCCCCAAACATAGAGAGAAATCATTGGAGAAATCGTTGTTTCCCTGTCTTTCTTTCCTGTTCTGCTTTCACAAAATATCCAGATTATCCATTGCGATGATGAAACCAGTTTGAAATGAGGCCAGTTGTGATAGGACATTAGTCTACCACTAATTAGTTGATAATGTTTGCAAAGAAAGTTCACCTTTGAACCAGTGCTTAGAAACTGAAAAGCAAAAAACTCTACCATAACTGGTTTAACACAGTTTTTTTAGTATTTTTCCACAGCTTTCAGAGTAGTTTGGGTGCTTAGACCATGAAAGTTTCTTGAAGAAACCTGGTCTACAGAACTGGAAGAGCATTTTTGGTCATAGGTTTAGCAATCTGGTGAAGAGGGCTTTAAACTGAAGTTGCTGGGGAGGAGAATCTCAGTCTGTACCAGTCCTATATTACAAGTTTGATGTCTGTGCCAGCAATGGAAGCCCAGAGAGGGTTCACAGGTCAGCAGGGGAGCACCTGATGAAGAGTGCAAAGGAATTCCAGCCACTCCAGCAAGTATGTTGGATTCACTGAGGAACGAACTTAAATGCCTCTATGCAAGTGTACACAGGATGGGAAGGTTTGTATGGCAAACAGTCCCTGTGATGGGGTAATTCCTGCACAGGAGTATCAGCTTTTGGTCAAGCAGTTATTCTGAGCTGGTGGATTGGAAAGCATAGAGTTCAAACTCGGGTTGCTCAAAAACAGTACAGATTTGGTTCCAGTTTCAGGAGAAGCAGCAGTTTGAGAAAGTTTTTTGATGTTAGGTTTGTACTGAGCTTCATTCAGTGCATAGCAAGGATGTCTCTCTTTGTAACGTGGTTTAGTGTTACAGCAGAAGTAAGTAGCTGAATTCTCCTGTTTGCCCATCCTTTTTCCTCCCAGCTGAGTTCAAAGCTTTGTCCTGTATTGTACCAGAGACAAAGACTTCACTTTTCAGAGCTGTCAGTCTGTCATTTTCATGAACCCTATTGCATACAGTGAATTATTTCTTTTCGCCCCTCAGAAAAAGACTATACACTTAAATTTCTATGATTTCTGAATTAAACATGTTATTATATTTTCTTGGCTAAAATTCAGTATCCTATCATTTTCATATTTGAAACCTGTATTTTGTAAAATTTGAAAGGGATTATAGTTCCTTAGACCGTGTTCACTTCTCAGCTAGCAATGTGACATATAAACTTGTTTGAAAAAGAAAAGGAAAAAATGCATCAGTCAAAGTGTAATTATGTTCTTCTTCCGTCGATGCACCTCTCTCCTCCATGTGCAGACACTCATGTCTTGGTTGCTGAGACAGCTGTAGAGACTGCAGGTGGAGAGTGATATTCTGTAGGATGACATGATGGCACCTGAGTTAGAAAGCTGCCTCCTAAAGCTGTGCTGGAAGTTCCCAACCAAGATATCTGTCATTAAACTGCAAAATTTTAAATATGGGCAGTTTACTGATATCTTGGGGCACTTTGACACAATAGTCCCTGTCAGTCAGCAGAGGGAAAGCATTGGATAACCTATATACTTCTGTCAGTCTTGCTGCCATTCTTAAGCATTTGTCATTTCTTCTAGGCTATTGTTCCTGTGTCTTACGCTAATTTTTCTCACTAATATAGAAACTCATGTTCAGAATGGGAATTTCTTCAGTGCAGCCACTCCTAGCATGTTGTCTTCCACTCCATTTTGGAGGCAACCTAAATTCATTATCCTTTATCACTTTTTAGGTAGAGTACTTATGACAATAGAACTTCTTAACTGGGACTTGATCTTCAGTCTTTGTTTTCATCTGTCTAGCTATGACAGAATCATTTATACCAACAGAAAACATGCAACAGATAGCTCTGAAATAATTGCTAATTGTAATCCCAGTGGCTCTACCAAGAGGTGACCACAAAACATGTGTTTTGTAAAGTCTTTAGTATTTTCTAGTCAATAAGAAAATTACTCCTCAGTTTAGAAAGGGAAAAAAAAGGGGACATTTGTGAGATGTGCCTTGTTGTGCACTAGCAGTGCAAATGCTGTACATTAAGCATTTTAGAAATGAGACAAAGAAAGAAGCAAATTTATGACAGCGCACTGTATTTTGACTTTCGAAAAGCAGTGTGTATTAGTCAGTATTACCATAGGCAGAATTCTACTAACTAGATTAAAACAGAGAATACAGACAGTCTTTTGGTGGAAGGACAGAACAAGTAATCTACTTTTAACTGACCTGAGGGTCAGTTCCTCTAGGACAGACGTTTGCTATGTGAACTGTAATACACAGATAGTCTCTCTTTCTTTAAAAATGGAAAATGCAAATGTAGGCATTAATTTGCATAACATTCAGCAAAACTTAAAAAATCAAATAACAGGTTATGATATGGTAGAAACCAGCATGGAATAAAAAAAGAAAGGTTTTCAGGACACAGTATTTTTCTGTGTCTTGAACTTCAGGTTGGCAGATCTACTGGTTGTGGTAGGGCCCTAGGGATGTACACAAAGACAAATTGAAGAGGGAAGGGGCATTTATAGAGAGACGAGACAACTCAGAAAATCCTTTACAACTCCACATCACACAACCAGCAAATAGGCTTCTTGATCTTGCTTATTATTGAAGGTGTAATGTCTAAGTTATTGTGCAGTGGAAAGTCAAAATTTTAAATGCAGGGATGGGCATGTGAAGAATTGGCCCAGTTTTGAAGAGGCTTGCTCTCTTTCTTCTTTCAGAGAAAATTAAAATCACTTCATATCCTGTTTTCGTTTGCTCTTCCAGGGTACACTTTGTCTAAGAAGCTTTCTTTTTTTCTTGCAGTCCTCATTCCATCCCAGATCGTCTGCGGATCAGAGTGAACAGGATTAATTTACAAGAATACGAGGGGCTACATTACGACAAGGAAAAGCTCCGGGAAGCTTGTAAGTTGGATGAAGCCAGATTGTAGCTGCTTTTGGTAGAATGTTTTGTGTAAATCATACATTGACCAAAAAGAAACCCCACCCCAAAAATAACAACAAAAAACCCCAAACACAGAGTCAAGCATACATTTTTGGATGAGTCATGTAGAGTGTATGTTCATCTATCTCTGTATATGTATTCTCTCTATATAAATAGTCTCTGTAAGGTCATGTATAGAGATTCCAGTTGCTTTCTTACTTTCCTATGCCTTTGCAAGTTGATTCTATTTACTGTAAAATAAGTGTTTTTCACACACATTTGTTTTTATTTATGTTTTTCTGTTGATTCTGCTTGATTTCTAGCGGATGAAAACATTCCAGATTTTATGATTAGCATCAGATTTCGAACTGAGTTGGGGAACTATGATGCGTTTATCTTGGGGAACAAATCTTCCCCAGTGAAGGGCTTCTCCAGACCCTTACTTTGTTAACAGCCTTCGGTTTTCCATATAAGAGAATAATCACTGTTTTGTTTCCTCATGTAATGGTTTAATTGCCATGTTCAGAGGTAAGTCAAAAGCAGACAGCAGTTGCTTTGGCAACATTGATGATGACAATCTGCACTTAAAAATGAAGTTCCTTTCCTTGGTGACACACAGACTCATTAATCAATGAGGGACAGGGCTTCTTGTGATAACCATTTAATAGCTTTTTCATGCATCTGGCTCATTATTCATATTAAATTACAAGCATGACTGTTTGTTGTGCAACAAAGCTTCAGCTCCCTCTGTAATACAGGGCACTCTGATAATTACAGGATGACAATCCTTTTAATTGGTTTGCTTATCTTATTGTTGGAAGATAGTTAAACTATTTCCATTTCACTCTTCTAGTCCCACCCTTCTTTATTCTCTCAGCTCACTGTCTCTCCTTACAACAAAAGAATTGAAATGGCTTAAATTTTAATATAGGTCCTGACAGCCTTTACTGAAGTTTCTGTTAGTGGATTTTGGTCATAGTTAAAGCAATCAAAGCCTTTATCACTGGACTGAAAAGAATTTTAACACATTAAGGATTGTGCTTCACTGGAGGGGTAATCGCTTCAAGCTTAAATTGAGAGTTTGACCTTGAGTAGTTTTCAGGCCACATTGAACACACATTTCTCCAACACTGTTGGAAACAGTCTGGTTCATTTGGTGGTCCTTCTTGTGGTTTCTCATTTGAGGGGAACTATCATTATCTATCCTTACTGTGGATGTAAATTATCTGTGTCTATAGTTACTGTATATTAGGTCCTTAAAAGCCATTACATGTTCTGACACAAAATACACAACTTATTACACTTTTTCACTGCAGTGGTAAATATATATTTATGTTATTTGTCACCTGACAAAATTCATAATGATAACATTATAAAAAAAAGGTGACTGATCTAGCACCTCTGAGATGTAGTTTTCAATTTTATACACATTTCATCACTTACTGGGTGTGTGCTTAAGAGGTTATCATTAAAAAAAGCAGATGTCTCTCTGTCAAGAGATAAAATGATTGCTTTTGGACATTGGTAGGTCATTTGCCATAAAATCCTTTTGTCTCTCTTTCAAGTTACTGCATGGCCAGCTTGATAATATAACATAGCTGGACTGGAGTATTTTCCCCAGACATTTTTCATGAAGTTGTTTTTCCTACCAGTCCTCTTTTAGATGTGTTATTAATGCTTGTGCACTACTGTTTTTATGTTAGAATATGAGAAACAAATAATATCCCCATTATCCTGAAAGAAATGGGAAAATATCCTTTTCAGTTACTTGTGATGTCCTGTGTAAGGACATATAACTTGCAGCATACACTGGTGGTCATCAGCCTACTTCTTTGAACATACAACATAAGTTTCTTTTGCGAGAATTGTCTAGCCTTTAGTTTTCAGGAGGCTGATCTTGATTTGAGGACTTCTGGGTGATGTTAACTGTAACTGAAGAAAATCATGTATGGGAAGACAAGTGCTCTCAAAATAGTCAGAAACCAAACCGTTTTAAATATTCTAGTCAGTTCCTGGGATTCCATGAAGTAAAAAATGGAAAATCCTGGTGGTTCAGTGATTACAGACTTAACATCTGAGTTTTCCTGTGACTTACAGCAAACTGCTTACATCTTTTCTGAAGCTTCATGGCCATGCTAGAGGATTACATGAGTTTTTATGAGGAAGCTGGAAAACCATGTAGATCTTCTATTTAACAAGATTGGATAGCCATTTTAATTGTATTTCTGAAATAGAAAACTGGATAAATTTTAAATGGCTTTCTGGTTACATGTCTATGGATTGGTGCTGCCTCACTCTCTCAGATGCTAAATACTGATATGAAATAAACCTGCTATGTCCTCCTCATCAAATCATTTCATTGAGCATTGGCACTAAAAGTTACTCGGTTAAAGGGGGAGAAGGGAAGTGCTGAGAGAGAAGTGACTCTCCTTTCTTTACTAAAGAAAGGGATGAGTGAGTGGGTGTGTGGAGGAATTGTTTGTACTAGCAAAATTCCAGAACGCTGATATTGGAAAAGTTGTTTCTTGGAAGCTTTACTGGGGAATTGTTTCTACAAGGCCTGTTACTGAAGAGGCACTGGCTTCCTTCAACACGACTGTAGCTCTCGTATATATGTCTGTCCCACTAGATCCTTGCAAGAGACTCAGTTTAGATACTTGTTCGGGCTTTGGCAGAATATCTACAACTGAATTCCAGAATACTATATTTAATACTCGTTCTCTGTCCACAAGGATTAAAAGCACTTTTACCTCCCTAAATAATTTGAGAACCAAATCAGAATCCCTCAGCAATCTGAATAGGAAAAGGAAACCAGTTAATAAAAAGTTATCCCTGAAGGAAAAATAGCAAAGAAGCTATTATGGGTTTTGCCTGTTACATGTCTCCATAATAGGGTTTTAAAAGCTTTGACTTCAGTGTACTAATCTGGATCATTTAACTCACAATAAATATATTTCACTCCCCTTGTTTTCTTGAAATACTGATTTGAATCTATCTTCACCTAAAATTACACTTCCTGACATATAACAGTTTGTCATACAAACTGTTCCATGAAGATTAATCTTTGCTCTGCTGGAGGTAGACATCTCATTTTGAAAGCCTCCCAAGCAATTAAAGAATGTCATTTTGTCCTCTGAAGGGCATGACTGTCCTTAGCTCATTCTCCTTCTCTTGTTTTCTACTTTTCTTGTCAATGCAGCTGGCATTTAACCAAGATGCTGTTTCTAAATTGTCCCTTTCTTCTCTCCCCTTGCTCCTTCTTTTCTCCTCCATTCTTTTTTCTGTCAACATCTTACTATTGTCTGTGGGATGATTGATGATGGTGCAGAGGATGCTTATTGATCCTTCAGCGAGGAGGGATGAATGCTTCTGTGCACCATTTTAAGAAAGGAATATATGTTGGTATTTCAGTTATGTTGTAATGTTATTCACTGAAAATGCAGTTGTCTTCCCTAACACTTTCCTATATATGTCCCAAGCACTTGTCACTAGTCACAAGCTTCACCACCTCTGCCCAATATGAGAATTGTACATTACATGACCATAACCACCATTACCATATTCAAAAAGTGAGATGAGCTGATGTTTCTAGGTGGACAGATTTTAATTCTGTCTCTCTTACCTGCATATTTTCTGTGCACTCTCTCTGGTTTCCTGTCATAGCAGGAAAGTGTGATCCAAAGCTGCAGTGAGGGTGAACAATTGAGTTATTTTTAAAACAGCTAAAAGTTTATTTTTGAAACCCTATTTTCATTTCAAACTCCTTTCAAACGGTACTAAAGTGGAGGTATACACAGAAACTAATTATTTAAAAAAAAGTTAGTTAACAGCAAACAAACGATAAACCAGCTAGTGACCAAGAGGTCTTCAACACTTCTTAGTCCTTCCCACCAACACCATTTCAGATTTGTACCATGAAAATGCAGCAGTGAAATAACTCACCATCAACTATAACTGAAGAGTTGTGGGGTTGTTTAATAGAATATGTCAGTCTTTACTGACCTTAACTTGTTGTGTAAGCCCTAACCGTAGAGAACCGTCTTAGTTTCCTCAATACCACTAAGATTAAGGAGGAATCATATCCAATCTGAGTGATGCCAGCGTCAGAAATAACTCTCAGCTCTGTAGCAGCTCTGGGTTTCTCATACTTCCTTTTACACAGAGGCAGCTGTTCCTTATCTCCTCTTGAATAAAATAGCACACTAGATTCAAAAGCAATTTTTAAAAAAAATTAGTTCCATTTGTATAACAATTGGACTATCTATAATCTAACTATCTATAATCTAATCCCTGCAGTCTCCCTGTTTTGTGTGTGTGTGAGATGCTGTAACATGATGTGATGTTAACCTCAAATTCTTGTCTCTTTGATTATACCTAGCTAGATGTCTATAATGCATGTGTCTCTGCCTTTAATTTCTGTGGGTTATCTAAGGGTTTTGGGGTCATCCTAGGAGTTCTTATCAGATACAGGGGTGTACATGGAGTGACAGCTTGTGAAACATTTGGAATGGGTACATGTATAGTGATACTGTAGCTTCCTCATAACCAGGAATGTACTTAGAATCCCTGAGCTATCAAAGTTATTCTGACTCTTTAAAGCTCAGGGATATGACAGGTCAAGGTAATTTGGAGACTATTCCGTGTGATTTTGAACAACTAGCTAAGTAAGAAAAGGTCAACACTTAGGACTTGATATTTATATCCTGAGTATATAATATAAAGGGCAGCAGGGAGCAGCAGACTTCCTGATGAGCCATGAAGGAAATGTACTTGTATTGAGAAGCAGCTTTGAGCTGGATGGGTTTAGGTGAGATGAGTTGTGCAGCTACAATCCTCTTCCCTGCTGTAAAGGAAACACCAATGGCCATTTATTTGCCAGGAGTTCTTAGGGCACATTGTGGCTTATCTGTAGAAGCTTTGTAAAAGACACCATTACCTTCACTCTGCTTAAAAGTCACTGCCTTGCTCTAACAGCTTTATT